AACCGTTACACCCCTATTCTAGACCGACAATTTTTTGGAGCTGGAAACGAACCGGATTCCGGAGCTAAGAGGCAGCGGCGCTGCGGTGTGAAGAGGAAAAACCGGTACTTTTCAGGCTCTAGCTCCGAGCCGGCCCTGGAAACACGTTGGTGTGAAAGGGGCAAGAGTGAGCAGTGACCAGGTCTGCAGTAGAAGAAAGGATGCATTCCCATTTTGTTTTGTTTGAGATTTGTGAACATTAAAAAAGCATTCATTGCTCATTGAGTGCTTTGGATAAAGTCACACATTTATTTTGAATGATTTAAAATAAAGAACAAATTCAAAGTATAAATACTGAACAACTTAAATTTAAAAGAAGTTTAAAAAAAAACTAGAACCCTAAGAACAAGATGTGGAGGTTAATCAGAAACAAATCACACTGGTTCACTTATATATATATTGATGTACAGCACTTTGGTCAACTCTGTTGTGTTTAAATGTGCTATATATATATATATATAAAGTTGGATTGGATTGGATTAATTTTCATCTGCTGAAAAACACTGTTAATGCCACCATGGTTTCAACATCAGACAAGTCTGTATGTCTCCCAAGCTCCACCTTTTCAGTAAATAAGAATAAGGTATTTTTTGTACAACTACCACACACAAACTGGCAACATTCCAGCATCTACAATCAATTATTGAAAATGAATTATGGACTGTTAGGATACGAAAATAAAATCCCCACTGCCTACACAAATCCACTCTTAAGTCAAGTTCACCTCCCATTAAGTGTGCAAGAATGTTGGCTTACAATTGAAATTCAAACTCCTCTTCCCTCCCACAATTCATCCAGGCATTTCATTGTTCCTGGTGGTTTTTTGTTCTTCTGAATGTAATATTGCTACCAAAGCTGTGTTGAATGCTGCTAATTACTGTGCTGCTCACATCTGCTTTAGTTCATGTTGGCAGTGGCTTTCTTTACGTGAGAATGATTCTGTTTTGTGTTGCCCCTGACTGTCTTAATAATACAGCCCTGTAGAAATAAAATAGCACCCTAGGAATTTTGCCAGCGACAGGAAACCACTCAGATGCAACATTCTTTCATTAAAACATATTGTGAGGATCGCTCTAATGTTGTGTCCTGAAAGCAGTTAACAGCCTCAGTGAATTGGCTCACAGAACCAGACTCCTGATCTGAAATGAAGCCTGTGTGTTGCTGGGTAACTCCTGTGCTGGTGATTTGAAGTCACTTTACCATAGAGTCATTTCACAAATGTGACATACTGACTTCCAAATATCACATAAATGAGAGCCCTTTTTGGCTGGCAAAATGTGGTTTCTAAAAACCGAATTGCATTTGGACATTTCCAGACAACATTTCAGTGAATAGGATTTTGAACTGTCTACTCTTCCTGTTATTTTGATCATATAAGAGATCAACACCAAAGCCGACCTCCTCTCCAGTTTCCCATCCAAGAGCAGAAGTGCTTTTATTCTACATCGCAGTGATGGAGAGCATTATCAGGTATCACAGCCTGGTATGGTTACCTCACAGTGCAGCTTAAAACTAAGATCGTTCGCCTCGTACAGACTGTCGATCAACCCCCCCAAAACATTTATGAGAAGTCACTCATTAAACAGGCATCTGATCCACCTCATATCCATCAGGCAGAGCTCCAGCTCTTTCCTTCTGGTAGGAGATTTAGGGTCCCTAAAAGCGGGCTAAACCGTTACCAACACTCATTCCTGCCAATGTCCATTACACTTCTCAACAAACAAATGCAATGTATAGTTTAAATGTTGGAGTTTGTGCAATAGGGCGTCATGTTGTCTGTATGTGTGTATATGCAAACTGTGTACATGTAGTGTATGTCATGTCTGAATATGCAGTTGTCTTTAAAGTGTACTACGTAGTGTTTATGTTTTTGTTTTGCTGCAGGAGTCCAAAACGATGTCCTTACGAGGACAATAAAGTGAATTGTATTGTGACTTCCTGCTCCAGGCCCCCCTCCCAGAGATCCTACCTCAGCAGCCATCTGCCCTTAGCCCCTGCATCAGAGACTGGGCCTGGGGGAGCTGGAGGGGCTCCTCACAGAGGGGCAGTAAGTCCTCACAGCCCCAGGGAGCTCCAGGATTCTCTCAGTTAGCTCCCAGATTTGTGAAAAATGCTATGATACTGTATACCAGCTCCATGCACCAGCTGAGGCCAGGAAACAAAGGGACAATGATGTTCCTGGTTTTTGTGGTGCTTTGAACACCACCCTCATGCTCAGGGAGAAGCACACAGCCATGCAGGTGGACAGCATGCTTCCTGGGTTATGGGCCGAATAGCTCACTCCTGGGCAGATTGCTGGCTGGATGCAGAGCTGGATGGGTTACTGTATTTACTCGCTACATCTGTGCTTTTAGGATTAAACTCAGGGTCATGGCAGCTCCACAAGATATTTGATGACTCCTTTATTGTGGGATGCAAAGGTTAGGAGAACATCTGCCAAAGGATTCCAGTCAGCTGTTACAAGTGCAAGCATGTGCAGCTCAATATCAGCGAGATAAAGAGGCAAGAGGTGGATTTAGGGATGTCACCCTCCCCACTGTGGAGAGTGGAATAGTTGGTTTCATTAGATCCAACAGAATACTTAGTCGAGGCCACCAACGGGAAATAAACTGGTGAGAAAAACTGGCTCTGTTCGAGAACATAAGCTGAACACCATCTTGGACAACACTCCCCCCTCTCCATCGTAAGCGGGTGCAGCTATGGTGCACGATGACCTTCCACCTCATCTACTGAAAGTGCAGAGGCAAGCTGTTAGCTGACCGTTACTTTACTTACTCTGGTCTAAATAGCTCATATCTCAGCCAGCTGAACTGTTGTGTCCCGCGCTGACAGCACAGTGAACGCACCGCGCTGCGTTCAGGAGGTGGAGTGCTCATCCTCCAACCCCAAGATCGCTGTTCCTGCAGTCAAAGTGTCCTTGGGCAGGATGCTTAACCCCAAGCTGCTCCCTATGGCAGGGCCACGGTGTGTGAGAGTGTCTTAAAGGTCCCATGTCATGCTTTTCTGGTTATTACCCGTCCCCTTGTGTGTTATGAAGGTTTTTCTGCATGTAAACGGTCTGCAGAGTCACAAACCCTCAAAGTACACCCTGTAGGGAATACAACTCAGAGAAGACCTGTCTGTGCTGCCCCAGAACGCCTCGTTGGACATTTATCTTTTTCCAATGTTTTCTAGTGTAGGAAACACAGTGACGTATTGGGTATAGTGACTTCCTCACACACACACACTCAATCTTTTCTCAGCTGCAGCTCAGCCTGAACTCAGCCTGAACTCAGCCTGAACTCAGCCTGAACTCAGCCTGAAGTCAGCCTGAGACGGCGAGACGCGGCGGGGCTCGGCCTGGGCTCGTTCTGAGCACACACACAGACTCACAGCCAGGCTGCAGGTGTATGTGTGTGCGCTCGGGCTGGGTTCAGGCTGGGTTTCGCTGTGTCTCGCTGTCTCGCATATCCCCCGCAGCAAGCCAGCTCACACTGTCCACTCCAGCAGCGAGCACCCCAACGTCCCCCCAACACGGCACCCAGACCCCACGCAGCATTCTCATCTGTTTGTCATTACTGGTGTCATTTCCTGGTTGCTAACAAACACCATTGTAAAACATAATCACTGATGTTCTGCTGTAACGGTGGTGGACTCATCACAACAGAGTGGGCGAGCTGACCAATCAGAGCACAGTGGGCTCACAGAGAGGGGGGGGGGGGGCAGGAGCTCCAACAAGCCGTGTAGGACAGAGAGTGAATACACAGACTATACAGAGATGCTGTTTGAGAAACCAATGTGAGTTTGGAACATTGAACAATGTGAATCTATTCTAGTCGACCTCAACAATGGAACTATGATCAGTAGAGATGGCCATGACATGGGACCTTTAATGTTAGTCTCCCTGAGCAGGTGACACCTTGTGTGGCAGCCTGTGTGGATGTGTGTGGATGGGTGAATGCTGATCTGTATGTTACATCTCTTTGAGGGGTTGCAAAGCTGAAAAAAGGCACAATAAGTGCAGCCTGTTTAAGTGCAGCCCTTTATAGGATTTTTATGTGACAACATTATATGTGTACAGATGTACATAGTTTGCTTTTATACGGTTGCTGTCTCTGTCTGAAGTCAGGGTGGCCTTTACAAAAGTGCAGAATATGTTTGTCTTCTTTTACATACTTTTTTTTGGTATGATTTTTTCAATTTGTGTGTGTGTGTGTGTGTGTGTGTGTGTGTGTGTGTGTGTGTGTGTGTGTGTGTGTGTGTGTGTGTGTGTGTGTGTGTGTGTAGGTTGTTTCAGTGATTCTGAAGTTGTACCACCACCTGCTTTACTTATAACCCACAGCACAGTGTATAGGCACACATTAACAGGAATATATCAGTGAAGACCGAGAAGATAAGAACACTCATTCTAACACAGTCAGTCCCTGAGAGGGAATAGTGTGATAGAACTGGAGATAAGATAAGAGATGTATATGATTTAGTTCGATAAGGTAAAGTCAAGTGTTTTGTATTAATGCCATAACAATGATCTGTCGAGTGTTCCTGAGCATTTTATGAAGTGTTAAAAAAACAAACAGCCCTGAAAATTAAAGTCATAATTGCATTTGCCACATCCTCAAATCACTACGTGAACCCCCCATTCATGCTGAATGTGAGGCTTTCAGCTGTGTGCATCCTCAACAAGACATTAAGCACTGGGATCAATAACATTCAAGGGCAATGAGCAGGAGAGGCTAAACACCGACTTCTGCGCCTTATATAACTTGCATGGCACGCATGCAGCCCGCAGTTACAATTCATATGAACATTAAGAGGTAGCCTATGTGCGTTTTATGCAGATTATAATGACCTTTAGTAACTCCTGGACCGTTGCTCTTGATTAGCTGTTTGTACAAACGCGCACTAAAACTGAAGTGCGGCCATGGCGCAGGAGAGCAGCAGATGGAGTGATGTGTTCATGAAATACAGTTAGAATGACTTACTTTAAGACGGCGTTGTCCCCCTGTCTGACGGTGATGTTGTCCTTTAATACTGAGTCTCCGGTTCTGGCTGGAACTCCTGCAGGTACAAGGAATAACAATTTAAGTCCGAGGACCACAAGGCATTTCCCAGGCAGTGCCAAATAGCCAAAAATGCCCCTCATTTTCTGTCACTGCGCAACTTCCACGAAAACTTGAACCGTCGGATATTCCGTTGAGCTGCAAATTCCACAAAGAGGATGCAGAATCTCCTCTGTGCTCCAAGGAAACAGGCTCGAAACAGTGTGGATAAACGCAGGGGAAAGTGTCGCTCCGCCCGCCAGTCGCTCTAGGAAACGGAGTTGAGGAGAGAGCAGCTCCGTGGCTCAGAGAAATGCGCACCGTGTCCTCCGCTGCGAGCTGGAGTCTCCGTGAAATGGATGCTGTGAGAGACGCATCAGTGTGTGTGTGTGTGTGTGTGTGTGTGTGTGTGTGTGTGTGTGTGTGTGTGTGTGTGCGCGCGCGCGTGCGTGTGCGTATGCGTGTGTGTCTGTGTGTGTGTGTCCTCCGAGTCTCTGCTCCTGCTGTCTCTGAGCCTCACTGAGTAAACCGAACACTGTAAGCAGAGGGCTGGATTCCCTTCAGGATCTGATTCTTTCGCCAAGTGCGTATAGCTCCTGAAGTAGCCCCCCTATGTTTCTCCCTCTCTCTCCCTCTCCGTCTCTTCTAATCTCCAGGTAGCATCCGCGGCTGTAGCCTACCATGAGGACCATATGGTCTGTAGCCTGCTGTGTTCGCAGGTCCAGGGTCCCCCATCAGGCCCTTAAGGAGGTTTGCAGGAACCTGACAAATATTATTGTTTGTGACACTTTTGGGATGATTTCATAGCGAGCATCCCTGCACGTGAGATGATCCTGATGTTGTTGTATTTCTCTGTGATGTAAGCATGCAGAGCTGCTGTGTGAAGTGTGTGTGTAATATTGACTCTCATAATAATTGTGATCAATTGTAGCACATTATACGGTGGCCGATAGGTGCAAACACGCTACTTTGGCCCAACACATTTTCATAAGGAGGAACATGCTGCAGTTTAAAAAACGATGCAATATAAGAAAACAACATCTATTTAAAGGGGAGTGCAGTGTTGAAATATTTAGCTATGTCATGAAACATGAGTAGGACCCTTTATGGTACTATAGATTATATGGAAAAAAGCATTAATGTCTTATTGAATTTGACTTGTCGAATGACGCCTAGAAAAATACCTTCTGTTTTAGTTCTCCATGTCCGTGTTATTTTCCAGCATTTTATTTTAAAGGTTGGCATGCTATAATTTAGATTAGAACAATCTCTGTGGATGTATTTAATTAAAAGCATTTCATTGTAAGCACCTTATTATCCTTATAAAAGAAGAAGCTGTACTCCTTTGATAAGAAAAGTATTTGTTGTACATTATCTCTTTGATTCTTACTTGTGACTGTGACACCTCTAACCCTTTCCCAGGGTCCTTGCTTTTGTCAGGTTTCAGTTTATACAAAGTGGCTGATGGGTAATTTATTCTGAAATGTTCAGTTCATGTTGTTTGTTTGATAGTTAGGGTGAGGAGCAAAGTAACCTTTGGGGAGTATACATTTCACCAAAACACATTTATTTTCTAAAGCGCTCTTCTCAATCAATCAATGTTTATTTATATAGCTCAATATCACAAATGTTACATTTGTCTCAGTGGACTTCACAGTGTGTACAGAATATCAGTATGAAAATACGACACCCTCTGTCTGACCCTCACATCGTACAAGGAAAAACTTCCGGACTTCTCCCGGTCCATCTGTATGCAGGGAGGGGACGTCGGCCACTGGGGGGGGGGGGGGGTGTGCCACTTTGCGGCACATCTAACAGCAGCACATTTAGAATTACTTTGACAGCTCTTAAGTCTCTTGAGGAGGCTGAACAAGATAATTTCTTTAACTTAACATCAATTTGGCACGCTGTTAAGAAACTGGATGGGATGCTGCAAATGCTCTGAAGGCTGGATGCCATCGCCGGGAGAATATCAAGTGACACATGGCAGTGTTATTGTCTAATGTTTGTGCAAGTGTCAAAGCATTGAGGATTTGCAGGTTACAGTAGGCGTTCTTTTGTGTGTCCATCAATCATGTCTCACAAACAATTGATTTCACAATAAAGCCTTTCTCTTTACCATAAAGTTACTAAGTGCATTGCATTATACAGTGACAAAAATACAATTATATCTTTTAGCAGGTGTGAAACCCTCTCCAGATTGTACTGCCCACTTTCGTATACTGCAACAGTAGAACATAAACTGTATGACACAATGGTGGTGGACAGTGAAAAAACTGAAAACATTGACTTTAATTAAATGTATTATGTCAACACATTTCACATGACTATATTAGGTTAGTTGAAAGCAATAATAATAAGTTGAAACTAATGTTTCTTTATCCATACTTAATATCATTGATTCAACTAACCTGATATGATGTGAAATCTGTTGACATAATACATTCTAAAAACAAATGCCTTGGCTCAACAAAGAAAATCAAGGCAACAGTTTGTATCGATGTTTATTGAGTTAAGACAACTTCTAATGAAATTGTGTTAAAGCAACAAAGTGATTTGAGTTAGGGGAGAAGGCTTCTCCTCTACAATCAGGTGTTTTTAATGACCACTTACTTCATCATTGGTAGCATAAACACACGTTTTGAAGTTGATTGCTCAAAAGATTAAGTTGCTCCAACTAGTTTTACCACATGATTTAAAAGAGATTTGAAGTTGTATGTACTTAATTACCCTCATTGTGAACACACGTTTTTAAGTTGACAACCATTTATAAATGAAGTTGCTCCAAATATATTTTATTCAATAGTTTTTTTTCTTAGCTTTTTCATGTTTTTGCCTTTAAAGAAAGAAATGGATTCCACAACAAAAATATTAGGAAATTCACTTTTTATTTTGAACTGCAGTTGTTTATTTCAACACATGATGTTTCAATCAGGAGAGAATTCATTTAGTTTGAACATTTATTGACACATGCCATATGATAAGGTGCATGAACACCTGAAATCACAGCTGACTGCAGGAGAGAGGAGAACCATTTTATAGTTTGTCTGCAGCTCGTTGATTGGCTGCTGGAGAATGAGGTGAAATGTAATAGGTTAAAGAGAACGCCTGTGATGAGCTGATTATATGCAGCTGCGGAGTGAATGTATTTACACCCAGTCTTCCTGGAAGAACTTGCGCTGAGCTTCATTTCAATCTTGAAAAAAAAGATAAATAACAAATTTCCCCACAAATAATAAATAAACACATTAGCCATATTACCATGGGACATGGGGACACAGCAAATACATGCTGCCATCACATCGAAGTTAGAGGCCTTTGCATATTTAAAACCAGTGCCAAATGTGTAACATCTGTAAAGGTTTTGTGAAACTACAGAAACAAACTCTCAATGGCCACCAGTCTGCAGATCACACACATCCATTTCACAAGAGATGTAACAAAGATGTTTACACTGCAGACAGTCATTATTTCAAACAGTATGAACACATTTAACGCAGAATGTGTTTCCCTGGACCACGATGGCTGCCATCGTATGGTCAGATCCTGGGTGGACCGGTCACTGATGAAGGCGATATTCAAGTCCTTTTGAAGCACATTAAATAATAGGTTAGCGTATAAGAGATAATGAATTAGGTAACTGCATACTTTTTAAACTCTTAGCTCATTCAGAGCCATTATTACCAGCTGCTAAAGCAACGCTGGTATTGTTTTCACCTATTGAGTCTGCATGTGTGTGTCATCATGGCAATGTGGTCCTGAAGACACACAGAGGTGCTTTTGAGTACTTTGCCTAGTGTTTAAATGCATGTGGACAGATTTTGTAGATAAGTTTTAGTGTCGCTTCTCATCTTTTTGCAGGTTCCATACAATATGTGAACTGGTTAAGAGAAGAGCAGAAGCCACTTTTCAAATGTTACACAATCCTTTTCCCATGCCATTGCTGCCAACACCTATCCATGTTGAACGTCTCTAAGATATTATTGATTGGGGTGTGGCCAAAAGTGCAATATGCTTCAAAATGTAACTGACAGAGAGCAGTGCTTTTGTCCTGTGTTTTTACACTGTGTCCGTGGATTTGATTTAATTTCAAGATTTTTAATTACGTCGCTAAACTCCTTGAAAAGGTCCTCTTCCTTTTCTCCAAGGCACACGACAAGGCAGCGGATGGCTATAGTTCTCTGCGTACTTCAATTGTATTGTGCTACTTTTGAAAAAGTAAAAAAAGAGAAATGACCTAAATGAATATATTCTGAATGCGTGACTGCCAACAACTTGCATTTCAATGACAACTCTAAATAACGATCCTACCTCAAGAAGCATCCTTGATCTGCTTCACCAGATTCATTTTGAATAAAAAGCGATATCACTATAGTAACCAAAGTATGTTTACTCTCACAGTAGCCTCTACTACTTTGTATCCTCTCACAGAACTATTCACAGTTCAAAGGCTGCTAATGTTGGTCAAACAGCAATTTGCCATACAGAGCAACTACAAGGCTATCTACTGTATTTGAACGACAACAGATGACACTCACCTTAAAATGTCCTTTGTATATTTCTATTTGTCTTAACTGTGGGAACTTGTCCCGGCATGTTAAGTGGGAGTGGACTTGAAACCCTTAACTCAAGGTGTAGAACAATAAGTTATCAAGCCAATTGCATTACTTACTTAGTTTTAAGTCAATTAACGCAGAAATCAGAGTTCAAATTACACACAATATTAAGTTGATGTAATTACCAACATTATTACGTCAACACAACTTATAAACTAATGTTTGCAACTCAAACTGTTAATCTAAATCAATTAACTCACATTTTTATCTTGCAACCATGCATTTAATTAAGTGGAGGTGAAAGGTCGCCTGAATTGGTTTTTAGAGTGTACATTTAATTAAAGTAAATGTTTCAGTTTTTTAAGGGTATTACCAATGGAATACAGTATCCACCCTGTCCTCTATGTCTTCTGTTCCCACCATGTCAAGGCAGCATATACCTTACTAAACCGACTAACGTGATCTGCATGTTAGGCAAAAGCCTGAGGTTCTGTGGTCAATACTTAATGTAACATGTGAGCAGCCTAAGTTTATTAGAAGGCGTTTATTGAGAAATGATGATGATGTCTTGTTCCGGAGAAATTGGGGAAAGATAAGACTTAATTAAAATGATATCTGCCTGGGATGCAATACAGTCCTGGCTGTGAACACATCCTAATGGTTTTTGAATTAAAATCCCTCCCTGACCTCAGCAAAATCTTAGATATGTGCTCTTAATTAGAGTTACAGGGAGGGGGTGGGCTAAAGCACCCCCCCTCAGTCGATTGAGGCTACAACATTTGGACATGTGATATCTTGTTAACACCTTGCAGGCACCTGCTATCAATTCACTGTGAGGATAAAGACGGTTTAACACCAGCGTCAAGAGAAAGAAGGAAGACATGCAGTTCTGCAGCGGTGTTTAGAGGATAGAATAACAGTGCAATCCATTTCAATCCATGCCATGTGCATTATGTTTTTGGCTATCATTGTTCCGCCTTACAGCGGGTC